GCTGGTATAGTGGGGCTGTTCAGCAAACAGAAACAACAAAAGCACTGTTGTTACAAAGAAGAAAGTAAAATACCTCTGAAGATTGAAAACAGAAAAACTTTGAGGTACAAGTTTCTTGAAAACACTGCTGTTAGAGAAAGTGCAAGAGGAAACATTAACTTCTGTGCAACTACTGTCGTTGCACCATCTGCTTTATGTTTCAAATCAGCAAAGAAAAAAAGCATAGGTGAATCTTCATATGTCTTTTTTTTTTTTTTTTTAACACGGATGTTGATAACAATTAGAGTAAGGAACGTGCTATTAATTTGTGAGGCAGTGGATATGAACATTTAAGTTTATATATTGCCTATCCCTCTAAAATGATTTTTTTTAAACAAGTTATTTTGTAAAAATCTAATAAAAGGTTTTTTTTTATTCCACAGTGGTTCTGTCCTCTAGAAGTTAGTCCTAAACATCCTTCTCTTGGTGGTTTTTCTTTGCATTGTTAGATCTGTTATCTTGCCGCTTTTCAGCACCTGTAAGATTTCTGATACCATTCCTACTGTTGGTTTTGGGGAGTTTGGGGAGCTCCTTTGGGCTCGACAGCTACAAAAGCAAAACCGCTGACGCAGTGCCACTCTGTTCTCTTACTCGGTATCTCTCCTTTCCTTGCCTTTTAAAGTGTGAAAATCCAAGCTTAAAGTCACAAAGACAACAGGTAAGGTCCAAAGCTTTTGAGTAACCTGCTATCCAAATTATACAACTTTTTTTTTTTCTTTTTTTTAATAGCCCCATTCTTAAACATAAATTTACCTTTGACTCAAGCAATAAAGAAGCATAACATTTATTGAGCGTTTATGCAAGATGTAAACGTTTTGTCTGTGGCCTTTGACTCAACATTAAGTACAGATTTTGACTAAGTTTGCATTTCCTTCCTTTTGAAAAGGAGTTTCTACTCCTGGGCATTGAAGGACAAACTGTAATGTGAAGTTAGGTATAAAGTGTTATTGATTGTATTTTGGTTGAAGACCAAGATTTGTGTCCCTTCTGAGTGAAGTGCATACTTTATTCTTTCAGTAGTTGTTAAAATTGGGTGATGTTAAAACTTCAGTGATGAGCTTTTTCCTGTATCTTTAGTGTCCTTGAAGTACAATAATGAAGGCATTGCTATTTGGCATCAGAAAGATTGCTTATCTGAAGTCATCATCGAGATCTATGCAGTGTTTCTGGAGACAGTTATCCAAAGTTCTGCAGCCCTAATTAACATGAAAATCTTAGTAGCAGAATAAAGTGTTTGTAGGCTTAGTTATGTTTATTTCAATTGTAGTTAGTTATGTATTTTGTAGCACTCTGTAACCAAATTACATCTCCCTACTAAGAAACAAGTTCTTTTAATATTATTTTGAGTAAACTAAAATGACAAAGAAACCAACTCAGTCCCTCATACTCCTTTATCCTTGCTCACACCTTAATAGGAACTGAAAGTCTTCTATCCAGAAAGAACAGCACAATTGCTTGATGCACCTAAAAACAGCTATACTGAGGCAGACCACAGTCCATGTCACACAGAATCCCACTCCACTGTGCCTGTAAGCAGTACCCAAGAAAACAAAAGAACAAGATAAAGAAAATAAAGTTTGGGAGAGAGATTAGTAGTCATCTATCAAAGTTATTTCCATAGGGTACATAATTTTACTGTATATGGCAGTTTGAGTGGCTTTCTGTTCTGTAGGCTTAGTCACATGAATAAATTGTTGGCACTCAGTTTCTAGTAGAGAAGTTCCACAATCTAGTCCTTACCACACCGAGAATCACTGTTTTATGTTTAACTTTACATGTTGACTTAGTTTTTATATTATGCAGGATGGTGAACAACCTGTCTCCATCTTTTCTGTACAGCATGTAATTCAGTAGATCACTATAACAGTCAATGTACATTGCATCTCAGAGATAAAAATCTAGCTTAATTATTCCACTTACCTTTGATCAATAGCTTTGTTGATACTGTGTCCTTTTCTAGATACACTGTCTCCTTCAGATGTGGGTGATAAGAGCGTACATCACTCAGGAGACAGGTGAACCACAGGTGTAGGTGTTAGCAGCAGATCTTGTTTTGTCCTATGTTCTACTTCTAGCAAGTTACAGTTAACATTGGCAAAGTAAAAGCAAAAAAAAAAAAAACAAAAACAAACAAAAAAAAAAAACACCACAAAACTTCAAAGACAAATGGCACAACCCATATTTGTTAAGCAGCTACCTAAACTTACTTGCAGGCTTATAAAGCTAACTAAATGTCAGGCATCTGATCTAGGCCTTTTCCCTCAATCAAGAATGATTGATGGCAATTAGCCAGTGAATTATTTGTTCCTAGAGAAAACTCTGAATTGCCACTTTCTCCAAGTCCAACAGCTGCAGCTGCAGCACATTAAATTGATTTCATCCAGGCTTTTTTTTTTTTTTTTCTTTCATTTTTTTAAACCAATTCTGCTCTGAGATGTTAGTATTTCCATGGTGATAGCTAGATGTGTTTAGGTGGTGACTGCTTCTTCCAGTTAGTTTTTTTGTCACTCTTCTGCAACAAATGGCACTATGTGTCAATTTTCATTTTATTTTGCTAAGCTTCTGCAATTAGCCTTCACTTGGGAGACTTTGTGAAAGACAAGAAATCACAGTTCCATGAATTTCTCTTGAATTAACTTACAGCATGCTAAAGTGAATAAACAAATCTGTACAACTCACAGCTAAAAAAGTTAAGTATTGCTGAAAGAGAACTACAATTATGTGGAAAACTGAACGTGTAAGATTACTTTATTTGGGGAGGAAGAGAACATAGAGGCTTACAGCATCACTAGGAAGCCTTTTATAATCAATAAAATAACTTACAATATAAATAAAACTCATACTTGTCAGTAGTTTCAACATACATACAACACTAGACTACGTAATATCAGAAGTACAGAAATGCATGCTGTTGAGTGCCAGTCATCTCAAATGTGTTTATCTTTTATCCTGTTGGAAAGCTCATGATCTGTCAACACACAACTGAAAAAGGCAGAGGTGTGGTCTGTGCTGCTGTGGGTGAGCTATGCTAGCATTGAGAACTAACCCACTAGGGTATATAGCATAATTTCTCCCATTTGAATGGTTAGATTAGCATCTGCTTCTAAATTAAGGGGTTGTAGCAGTGCAATTAATCCATAAAAATTTATTTCCAAGGCCAAACTTCCACAGCTGAATAAGCTTATGGTCACAGTAATAGGTGTCAGAGACAATTTAACATGCAAGAGTGTGAAAACACAATTTGTCCACGCTGATTCTAAGTGATCTTGAACGGTAAACCTCTTTGCTTTCTGTGGGCCTATTATATAGACATTTTCTAAATCATCAGGTCTATTTAATGGAAAAATAAAATTTATCAGGCCATTACTGCTTGCTTGTACTCATTTAATTCCAGTCCTGGGAAAAGTGTAAAATACATATATGATAATGGGCTATTTAATAACAACAAGCAGGGTTGATGAGATGGCTTGATAATCTGTCCCTGGTGAGTACTAAAGTCCTTAATTTAGTTTCTTGGTGTCTGGCTTTCTGATAGGTGGAGCTCTGGCACTGTCACTGGTTTTTGTTAGCTTATTGTCGTGGGGTTGTTTTGTAAGTTTTTATTGTTCTTTTTTGCCTGATTTTCTCTCCAGGCTACAGGATGACAAGGGGTTATTCTCAGTTGTTGGGGTGTAAGAGAGAGTGGGAATATACAGTGCAGTAAATGCTTTGGCTACTTGTTTCAAAGCAAAAAAGCCTTGTTTTTTCACTTAATACACTCTCTCATTTAAGTGTGTCCACAAAAGGATTTAATCTTAAAAAAATATAACGCAGAGAAAGTCTGAAGTATTAATTAAGTGATCATTCTCTACTTTTTCCCATCAAGCTATAAACTCTTTATGCAATAGCTAAACCTACCCAAACCAAACCTTAAGGCATGCAATGAATTGGCAGGAAATACCTTTTATAACTAGCATTAGAAAATGTCACTTGAACTTAGCACCTGTTTAAGGCAGTGGTACACTGAAACCAAGAACATGTGAGGAGCCATGTTGACACCTCAGTATTGGTAAGCTTATTCTACCATAAATAAAGACAGTAGCTATGGCACATCTTTCATATCTTCAATTTGAAAAGACCCAAGACTACTTGAAGTAGTTCAGTCGGAGATGTACAGCATCTGTGATCTTGTCCCTGAATATCAGCCAGTTTTTGGAAGGCAGCTTTACAGTCCTCATCTCACATTCCTCTGCTGCCTTCCTGGATCACTCACATTTACTGACAGTCCTCCAGGATCCCATCTTTGGCCATAAATAGATACTCAACACTGTCAACACTGCAAGCTTAGGATCACTTCTTCATGTTCTCCTCTTCCTCAAAGTTCTAACTTCTTTTTGATTTTTAATTTAGTGAACTCAGTGCTCAATGCTGGGGGTGGGACCATGTAATGTGCCTAATGGCTCATCATCTCATAAAGGTTAGCTCAGTTAGATAGCTAGATGGGCTGGGGGTATGGCACGTATGTAGACAGGCTGAGGCAAAAATCTTTCATGAGCTACAGCTGCTGACACAAGCACTGTAACCTTTCTTCATGAGTAACACACAGGATTTTTTTCCTCATGCTTAGGGTACCTACAATGGGGATTCCCTGTTAATCATTCAGTACAATGCAGACTGTAAGGGCACAGCATAGGGAAACTGCAACTACGTGTGCTATTTCTAAAGCATTTCTGGTTGAGTGATGCCTAATAGGTTCCTTGAATTTAGGCCTTCAACACTTCAGATATATGCAATAGCATTTTTTTCTTCAACATTTTACAGTGAAATCCGGCCTTCTACACCAAATTGCATCAGAAGCTGTCTAGCTTGTAAAGGAATCAAGTGTTTTACCTTTTTTTTTGTTTTGTTTTGTTTTGTTTTTTAAGCAACAAAGTACTTAAAATAAAGCAAAACAGAAATCCACAGCTACACGTGGAAAAACTTTACCGGCACTCATGGTGCTCCTTGATAATAGAACTAAAGGCATTCTGATGCAGACTTGTCTTCACTCTTTTTTCCCTTTGTCTTCTGTTGCAAAACCAAACTCTCACAACTTCTTTCTCAAGATTGAGCCCCTCAGCCATCCTCATGATTTCCTGAGAAGAAGGTTTGCTTTGTTCTCCAAAGTGCCTCTCCAGGGCTTCTTTGGCAGCAATACTGGATAAAGAGACAAAATATCACTTTTAGGAACTTTTCTGACACATTCAGGCTTTTTCTGTAGTACTTCTGGAAATCAGAGATGACAACAGCAGTTTTTAGCAGTTATGTTTTCTAAAAATCAAATATCTGCTATAACCTGTTCTCAGTCAGCAATGACTAAAGTTGAACAGTACCAAAAAAAAAAGGTAAAGTAAGACTATTATCTTTGCGTAGTGTCAGATGGAATTTGCTTCCTATTTTTGTTAATATGTTCTCAGAAATGAAAGTATCTGCAACGTTTTTACATTGCCACAACAGGACGCAACTAAAGCTGGCTTAAGCAGTAGCTGTAATTTCTTCGGACACAAGAGGGCACTTTATGCATTATACTGGAAATAATGTGCAAACGTGTGCAATACCTGCTGGAGTTCCTGTTATTTCAAATGTAGTATGTTGGTGGTCTTTCATTTGTGTGTGCATTTTGCAATATTTAGCAACATTGCCCAAACCAGCTAATTAATAGTGTAATGTTCTACACGCACAGAGATGTATAGATACCTTACTGAGAGAGCCTGGAGAAGGTTCTGGGGAGACCTGGTAGCAGCCTTTCATTATCTAAAGCAGGATTGTAAGAAAGAAGGAGGCAGACTCTTTTGCAGGGCCTGTTGTGATATGACAAGGGGAAATGGTTTCAAACTGAAAGAGCAGAGTCTTAGACTGGACGTAAGGAAAAGGTGTTTTATAATAAGGGTTGTGAGCCGCTGAAACAGGTTGCCCAGTGAGAAGGTGGATGCCCCATCCATGAGGACACTCAAGGTCAAGCTGGGTGGGGCTCTGAGTGCCTCATCAAGCTGTTCATTGCAGGGGAGTTGCACTGGATGGCCTTTAAGGATCCATTCCAACTCAAACCATTGAGTGATTCTACGATTATTTTTTTACTGAGAGTTTTTTAAACTTCTAATAACAATAGAAAATTAAATGGCTTCCACAGCTGTAAATTACCAGGTCCTTCAAGTCCTCAAACTGATGTGCTATACGCCTTCAAAGAAATAGTAAACATTTTATATGTTTTAATATACTGGGTATAGTCCTGAGCTTCCACTCAGTGGTCTGTGCACTTGACAGTCTGCCATATTTAATAGCCTCAGTGTAATGAGGATAGATATAAAAGCAGAAATAATAATAAGCTTGATTTCCTCAGCAGTTGTGATAAAACAAGAACAGCAAATCCTATAGTGTTAGTGGAAAAATCTTCAGGAGGCTTCTCTAGATCTTGGGAAACACCTGAACAGAGTTGCTCTGAAATCACAACTATGTAGGTCATAGTGGGTAAGGGTCTGGCACAGTCCTTTCTTACTTAAAGAGAAGCTGAGGATGGCCTTCCATGAGTAAAGTTTTGTCCCTAGTGAGGTGCTGTGATTAGCAAATGAGCAATGAAACGTTTTACATTCCCTGTTCACTCCTAGCTGAGAAGCATCCTCTTCTGGATCTAGTTTGAAAGACAGAAATAATTCATATCTTCATTTTATTTCTTATATCAAAGGCAATATAATTCAAAAAAGCAAAGCTCAAGTTGAATATGTAAGAGAAGAAGGTATGAGTTGTCACTGTGGGGCTCAGATTGAGTGGCTACAGAGCAGCCTATATCTCTGGGAGATGGCATTGCACAGAGGATGTGATTGCTATTCAAAGAGCAGGCACTTTGCTGCAAGAGGTAGAGCCTCGCAGTGCTAAGTTTGCACCCTAAAGTGGCCAAATCCCCTTTCTATGGAAGAATGCTGCAGCTACTTGGAGGCCCCCCCTTGAGTGAATTCTTCTTCACAACAATTACAAGAGTCTAGGATACTGAAAAGAAAATGGTGTACCTCACCATCTCTTGTATCATGTTCTTTGTTTTCCTTATTTGGTAATTGTATTTCTATGATTAATCACCAGCCTACTTAATTTCTGTATGGATTTGAGGCTAGACAGGTGGTAGGTGTTGGCTACCTGAGATGAAAAAAATAACGGGAGAAGAAAGTTCCCTAGCAACTCAACTCTCTCTCTCTCTCTCTTTTTTTTTTTTTTTCATACAGCTCAAGAAAATGCTTCCTTAGGAACTCTAAGAAATTAAGGAATCCAGCAGCAGAGAACAGAGGTGGAGATCCACTATCACCTGTAAAATATGCCCTCAGATGTCCCAGATATTAATTTCCCGGAAAATCATGCAAGTTCATTTGAAATGATGTAGAACTTTCCATAAACAAAACAAAAACAAACAAACAAACAAACAAACAAGGGGGGCCTGCACTTATTTCCTATACCAAAATTGTAAAACTGGGTCAGAATCTGAATGTTTTTTTCACATGGAAGTATGTTGTCATATTTTGAAAAGTCTCTAATGGGGAAATGTGTTGTACTTGGAGCCCATTGGGGTTTCATAGGGAGGTGTGTTTTTATTTTTCACTGAAATGTTTCAAAATAGTTTATCCTTCATTAGCTATTCACAAATAGAAAACAATGCTTTGATTTCAACCCCCCAAAATGAAACCTCTTAGCTAAAAGCATTTCTAACATGTAACCCCATAAATATGTATAACCTTATGGTGGTTCTGCGCTTCCTCTTCCTCTCGTTCATGCCAACTTTTTCATTGTATAAAGCTGTATTAAAAACAAAACAAACAAAAACAAAAGAGCAGTTAACTTCCACAGGGGACGGAAACTGCGTGCAGTCATCACTGGAAAAAAAAATTTGCCTTTGTTTTAAGACAAAAGAAAGTGTAACAAGTAATACTACTGAATAAGGAGAATAAGTATAGCTCTGCACCAGAGTTATACTTTTTACTTTAAGAGTCTTGGTCATTTCAACTCCAGCTGAAAATGGTTATAAGCAAAAGCAGCATGCCAGTGGTAAAGCTGCAATAGCACTGGCACTGCTTCTATGCCCACATACATGGGGAGACGTGTCACTCCACTGATTTTACATACTTTCCTCATCATTAGCAGCAGGATGCAACCTGGATCCATTTCCATACCCATCAGCTATCTCACTGTCTTCAGAATTACATCTCTGCCTTCCATCCCATTTATTCATCCCCCCCACCCTTGCTTTCTAGAGCAAGGTTGCTTTTCCATACTGTGCAGCTTACGCCTTCACCAATGCTAACAAAGTCAGCAGCTGCTACACACTGCAAACACCTTACAAGTAATTCTTACAGTGTGCTGACCACATTAGGAGAGTTTCTGGTTTCATTTGGTTCAAAGGAAACTGAACTGCATGGCAGAAGCAGCTGCTTAACAATGTTTCCTACTGCTGAATATAATGGCAAATCCAAAAGGCAGTATTAAATCTCTTTCTTCCTGTTCTGGGTGAGTGCTGCACAGCGGCAGACCTGGCTTTCTCGGTCACCTCCAGGCATGCCACTTCCCCTCATCTCAATTCAGTCTCAATGAATTCAGATGAAAAGGCTGTCCCTTAAAATGACCTGTTTCCTTTACATCAGCCAACCTGTTCTCAATCAGCTTAGCCCAGGGAACACCAGAACTCTCTACTCATAGAAATTAACTGGGCAAAAGGAAGGGAATCCTCTAGCAGCAAAAAGATCACATTAAAAAAAAATAATCCCTATGCCATACTATTCTTCTTCAGGGCTTTAAAGAGCACTGCCTCAGCTGAACATGAATTCTGCACCCTATGCCCACATCTTAAATGCTAGGCACTTGCAGGAAGTCCTCTGCTAGTGAAGAAATCCAGTTCAGTGCTGCATGGGCTGCCCTGCAGATCCCAAAGTAGAGGTAATGACTATGAGTACAGGAATGGAACTAGCTCACTGCAATAAGACTGAAGAAAATGACTTCCAGCAAGCAAGTGGTGCTTCTGCAGTTCTGTAGTCTCCATGCCTTATAGTTTTGCCCCTCCAAATATTTTTTGCTCACCCAAAAAAAACCAAAATTTAATACATGCCATCAACACACCTTAATATCTAAAGCTAGTGAAGCAAAACTCTCAGTTTATGGAAGGCACATATTAGTCCTTCAAAGTATTTATAGGATTGTGATCTACTTGCAGTAAATATGTAGAGGATTTCAATTCTACCTCCCACTTGTTCTGCTTCTTCCAGCCACTTGGACAGTATTGATTTCAGTTTGCATGCATTCTTAAAGCTCAGCTGCAAGTTCTCAAAGCGGCAAATGGTAGTTTGACTGAATTCGGAGCCGTGCACAGCAGCCAGTGCTTCACCAACGTTGGTTTGTGTATAACCTGTCAAAATTAAGAGGAAAAAGTCACTCCAGATCTTTCTACAGAAGGTGACCGTTCTTGAGCCACTGAGTCCTTCATTGTGGACTCTTAGGAACCTGGTGTTCCTGTGGTGCATGCACTCAGCAATGGTAAGGCCACACCTCGAGTATTGTGTTCAGTTTTGAACCTTTCACTACAAGCCTTTGAGGCTCTGGAGTGTGTCCAGAGAAGGGCAGCAAAGCTGGTGTGGGGTGGTGTGGGGTTTGCAGCACAAGACTTATGGGGAGCAGCTGAGGGAACTGGGATTGTTCAGTCTGGAGGAGAGGAGACTCAGGGGAGACCTTATCACTCTCTACAGTTGCTTGAAAAGAGGTGGTGGCGTGGTGGGAGTCGGCCTGTTCTCCCAGGTAACAGCAATAGGACAAGAGGTAACGTTCTCATGTTGCACCAGGAAAGGTTCAGGTTGGCTGTTATGGAAAATCTATTCTCAGAAAGAGAGATCAGGTGATGGCACAGGCTGCTTAGGGAGGTGGTGGAGTCACCATCTGTGGAAGAGTCCAAGAATCATGTGGATGTGGCACTGAGGGACATCGTGGGCACAGTGGGGATGGGTTGGTGCTTGGACTGGGTGATCTTGGTGTTTCCAGCCTTAGAGATTCTATGATTCTGTGATCATTTTGTAGAGGTCCTGGGCTGACTTTCATTTCACCTTAGGCTGTGCCCAGCCTTCTGCTGATTTCATAAGTTTTACATCTCTGTGATTAGGGATCTCAGAAATATCCAGATACCATACATTTCTGTAGGTGATGCAGTGGCATTAAGCTACTCCTTGTCAGCCCTGCTGGTCTCCTGTTATCTGTTCTGGTGGCTGTACTTTACTAACAGGCACTGAGGACCCCATTCAGTGCACCAATCAATCTGTCTTGTCTTCCTGCCTGCCTACATGTGAGCCAGGATGGGTACAATCTTTTTAGATGCCAAATATCTCACAGGGCTCCTTTTTGCTTCCCGTTTGACTGCACTAACTGTGTTTCTCGGTCCCAGATCCACAGCCCATTTTAACTCTGTCTTCTCTCATAAAGTTCAAACTCAGATCAGTTTTCCTCTGCAAATTACATTTTTCCCACTAACACAGTAAGCTCAGCCTCACTACCTCTGAGCCATTTGTTTACATCAGAGCAACTTTTGCTCCCTCACAAATTACTGCATCAAGATGCAGTAATAATTATAGTGATTAATAGTGTGGGGTCCAGATAATCTTTCCTGTGCTGCATTTGACACTAAATACATGATACACAACAAAACTACCTAGGTTACAGATTTTATTTTAAAATATAAATTTCTGCTTTAGTCCTTATTTTTATACTGCAAAGTGGAACACAAGAGATTTCTAGTGGTTGAGATAAGGCATAGGTATCTGTAACAAACATGTAAACTTTTTTTCACATTTATAAAGGTGATTTTTTGTAGAAGGATGCCCTAAAATTGTAATGATACAATATAATTTTATAAGCAATAACATCAAAATTGTAGTATTTTGTTTGGAGTACCCAATATTCAGCTCACCAGAAACCCACCAGTGCAGTTCATCTCACATCATCCTTGCTATTTATCAGGCAGCATCTGGTGCTGTGGCACCAGAAAATAAAACAGGAAAAAAAGTTTCCTTCTGGTGTGAAATATTTGCCACGGACGTCATCCATCTTGCATACTGAAGTGACACTGCACCACCTTGTGTGATGGAGCACTTCATGGGGAAAGGAATGGGTACAAAAGATCAGCTCATGGGCTGCTCTCAGCTGCAGAAAATCTGAAACTATATGAAATAACATACCTGCTACTGAATGGAACTTAATGAACAAGAATAAATTTTGTTTGCTCTTGTGAACAAGACAAATAATTCATAAAGAAGGAATATTTAAAGTTACTTTTGTCACACTAAGATGCTAAAAGCTGACATTTATTAATTCTTCACAAGTTTTCTAGGAATGGAGAAAGTTAGTCAGACCAGGAGGATTAAAGTTATGATGAGACAAGTGCATGGCCCAGACCATAAAATATTTAGAAATAATAGGTATCTCCTTGGAAATTTTCAGCCTTTTGTTGGCTGGCTAAAAGCACATACCGAGTTTAATTCTCCGCAGTTTGAATTCATTAGCAAATTTCTCCAGTTCCCTGATTTCAGGGGAATCCATGTCGACGGGCTCTTCCACAGACTTGCTTTTCCTGCGGAATTCCTGCTTGAAGTCTGAAGCTGTGGGATCATCACTGAGGAGGGTCTGGTGCACGGGTGTGAAGCTGTGGCCCAGGGCACAAGAGCTGGCACTCAGGGCATGCTCAGGGAACTTATAAAGGCAAGGAGTCAGGCTACCTGAGCAAAACCCAAAAGAAAACTAAATATTAGTTATTCTGCAACACTATAAAAAATGTGCCTTTGTAATCTCATAGCCAAAGATTGTAATATTTTTTTTCGTAACATGTGAAAGGCTATGCAAGAGAGATGATAAGGATCTTCCACAAGACCCAGTCTTTCTCTTGTCCCCTTATACAAAAGCAGAACAACATCTACTTTCTCATACCACAGCCATCCCATTGCATGTGCAAATTGTGACATAATCAAATTAGATGGCAGTCCAGATTCCAACAAACTCTAATCCAGACATGATGTCCAGACCAGATACTATGTAGGTCAATCTGGATGTAATGCCTCCTATTTATTTCCACGGACACTGTAACAGAGCAATAACACTACTTGGTAGAGCAAATTCTCAGTTACAAGATACTAGTTTTCAGCATACTCACCTCTGTTAGCTATGCATTTTCTTCAGTGATGAACAATAGCCTCTATGTCAAACTAATAGAAATCTGCACCAGCAGAAGTGACCCACTATTTCACAGCTGCTCTGATGATGTCATTGCTAGGAAAATGTTGTCTATGCAGCCCATCTTCCATCAGCCCAAACAGATGGAAGTCAAAAGACTCCAAATGCAGACCATCCAGAACATGCCTTGTCTTCCATGTCACCGTCCCTACTGCTGAAATGTACCACCCACTGCCTCACTGTGCTCACATCCACTGTTTGATCTTCATAAACATTCAGCAAGCATTGATGAATGTCAATGTGTGCCATTTTTTCCACATGGAAAAATTCAGTGTCACACTTTTCCTTCATACGAACTTCCATGTCAGACATCATTTATTAGACTTTCCCTCTGCTGCCATCTATCACCTGGTGGGAAGGTTCAGCCTCTACTGCCATACCATCAACATCTGCTTCTGACATCATGGGCCAACATAATAAAACAGGAGACATTACTTTCAGAACAGCCCTTATGTTTTGGTAAGGTTTAGGTAAGGTTTAATATAAGATTTTTTTTTTAGGAAAACCCAGAGAAAAACAATGACCATTCTAGCTTAAAAATATATTGCTTAAGGATAAAGCTACCTTGTGCTACTTTTTGCTCATGTTTATCAGTCTTAACAAGGAGATTCAGTCGGAGTGAAAGCTCTTTTTTTGCTAGGTATTGCACCTATATAGAAAGAATTTCTAAGCTGAAGGAGATAAAGCATACTTATTAGGAAGAAACTAGAAGTATGAAACCTCCTTAGTGTTACCTGAAATGAATGATAACGTCTAAGTCCCCAGGAAATCCTCAATTTTCTAAATGACACAAACGTTGGCAGCAGAACTCAGAGCTTCATTAGTAACCCCTCCACATTCCTCCTCTACTTGTTTTCTTTACTGCTCTGATAGCTGTCTTTAGTATTAGAGGTTCTACCCCATTGGAATACATTATACATTTCACACAGGAAATCCACGAAAGAGATTTTTCCAAGGAATAAGAGGAAATACAAGAAAAAGAGAAAGACTTGCTTTGCAAAGTGCTGACACCATTTACTACATTGGGATGTGGCATGCTGCATGTTTGTAAGATGCGACTCTGGGAGAGACTTGCTGACAGCATCTCTGGAGTTGCAGGCTTGATGCCTAGAGAAAAAGAAGGATATTAAAGGAAAGAAAGGAGTAAGATGAAGATGCATTTATTTTGGAACAAAACAAAATAAACTTCTGAGCAATACCTGTTTTTAATATCTATTGTTTAATACCTATGGATTTTACCTGGGGATCTGAACAGTGCAACAGATGTGGATTTATCCATGAGATGAGAACTTCTGAATATTTGCACTACTCTCTGTCTCTAAGAAGTCCCTATGCAGATATATTCATTCATGCTGATTTACTGTAGTATTTTCATCAATCTTAAGTGAAATCAAACATGGAGTTTGATCTGGATTATCTTCAAGTAACATTTATCTTCTGGGTTGCATGTTAATTTGGCTCTAGACACTGTTTCACTGAAGGCTACTTAAAATTGCACAGAGTAACTTCATTTAGCCTAGGACGTGACTGGGATGCTAGCATACCTTTAAATATTAAAATGCATGATCATCTGTATGAATGTAATTTATACTGCCTTATAGGATTTGGAAAATCATACACTGACTGAAAGTGTTTCTGGCTTTAAAGGCTATCCCAATGTCTTTAAATTAGTAAAAATTATAAGAATAAGAAAATAACTTTCAATTGTAGCTCTCTGTTTCTAACCTTGATCCCAAATTTTGTTGGAATTAAATACAGGTTAGTGCTCATTGGTACTACTTACTATGATTCTATACACACTAAGTCATCTTAGGTACAGAATATTTGCCTTGATCTTCATGACAGAAATATGGCAGCTAAAAGTAGCTTCAGCAAACATTGTGTAGATTCATTGCTTTGCCTTTTCTCATACGATTCTGGTATTTGGAGACAAAAGAAATAGTAGGCTCCAGGACCATAGATATTGGTAACAACCCCATATATCAGATAAGTCATTCCTAATCCCTCAAAAGGAAAAGTGGACATAGGTAAGTGAAAAAAGCATCACTGTCCCCGTCTTAAAGAAAGAAGTAAGACACAGAGTGATGTGCTGAGATACAGAGGTTTAAGTTTAAGAAACTGAACCCTACTTTGCTAACCTCTTTTGTAGCGCCTTAACTCCAGTCCTGTCTTTAAGCAACTCTTTTGAACTTATTCATCTAAAGGAGAGCTGACCAAACTCATTATGCTAATAGTTCATTCAGTTGAGGCTGCCTCTTACCTGTCATCACCCCATAGGTAGAGGGTTGATTTCCATAGTGACAGGAGGGCACAGAGTAGTGAAGTCCTGCTGACACATGTCCCGAAGTCATCACAGCAAAATGGAGTTGGGAACATTTAGGAGTTTGTATCAAAGACAAAACAGACGGGACTGGTAAGAAAACGCATGAGGATTCAAGGTACATCCTTTCAGTTCAGAGGTAGACAGTATCCTTGTATCTAGCTCTCCTGCAAACATTAACTCTAGGACATAACCATCTGGCAATCTCTGGGAAGCGAAAGTCAGCAGTTTATAGATCAGTAAGATGAAGAGATAGGTATTTCAGGTCTACGCTCAGTAACCTCCCAGTACCTGACGAATCAGACAATTTTTTGTTCAGTGCAAAATACATGATTGTGTTCCTTGTGTAAGTAGGCAGCAGAAATATACAGTGCCCTGTAACAACTGTTGTAAAGAGTAATATTGTAAACTCATATTTGTGAACGTGAAAACCTGAACTTCAGAGCACACATTCGATGTGTTCAGAGCAATATGATTAATTAAGGATTAGTATCTGTTTTTTAGAACAGTGATCAGAACTGTAAAATGCCATTTACACATTTACGCATACAAATGCTACTGGAACAGTCATACCTGTACAACTGTAAGTTCATCCAAAAGAGAGATTGAATTAATAATACCCATGCATGCTGAGCAACGCAACTTTTCTTTTGAAATAATATCTAGGAGTTTACTTGTGGGTATTTGTTTTTCTATTGTTATTTCATAATCCATAATCTATATAATTGTTATGCTTAAAAATTGCCGTTTTCAACTGACTAATAAAGATTTAATACAAGGTAGGGAGGAAGATGCTATTTGAATTTAATAATATCAACTTAACTGCAGAGAGGACACTGCAGAATATTAGTTTATGATATAGTATAATTCTTGAACAGAAGTATACTCTATTTAAGAATACAGGATTATTACATGCTTTTTAATGAATTTCTACATTTAAGTTACGTCTTTATTCAAAATTCTCCTGTTTCTACTCTTTTGCACAAGTTTGCTTTATCTGTTTCCACCAAAATGTTATTATTTAATGCAATTTCTGGATCCACATATGAAATTCCGTAAGCTTACTCATTGTAAATGGCACCCTCAGTCACTTCTGTTCTCAGATGGTCACCTGCTAGATGTGAGGCTGTGAAGAGAATTCTACTGATAACAGTGGTCCCTGAGTTTTAACTACAAAGTATGGAAAACCTAAAACACACCTGTGCATGTTTCTTGTAGCTCTGCCAGTCACCACATATATTTTTTGTAGTTCAAGATGGATAAATAAACAATCTAGAAAATACTGCTATGACACAGATAAGTTATTATGGCCTCAAAAAAAAATTTAATTCTGTTATTCCCTACTACAGCCACTATCCAACAATTGTGTTAGGATATTTTGAGCTTCATGCCTGGAGAATGAGATTGCATTATGTATTACTGATGCTCAGTTTTCACTATTTACATGCTTTTTCATATTGTTAAAACATTTTATTTCCGATGCACTTCAGCAAACGGATTCTTTTTGGGATTTTGAGTAAAGCTCTTGCCTTACCTTTATGTAGATTCAAATAAAGCAAAGCTATTTATATTCCTGAGAGTTTTCAGTAGCTTCTATATTGCGGAATACCACTTCTGAAGATCTGAGGCTGCAAAAAAACTGTCTCCCTGTCTCTGACAGTTTATTGTTTAAATGCAATTATTTGGATTATTCACACAAACAAAAATTTCCAAAATGTAGATGAGATTTCTGTCACCAGTTTTGAACATTAGATGTTATTTTATTCAGGAGGTACTTAGGTTTTCTTTCCCCTCTTCTTGGAAGCCCTCACAATTAATATTACACCTGTTTTAAATGCGTTTTCTGTCTAAAGTAATTTATGTCATCAAAATTTGTGGTTGCACAGAAAACAAACTTTTAATTATTTACATGACATCACTGAAGACTATGTAGGCACAAAAAAATGTCAGCATTAAACCTGTTCTGAGTTACTGTAATGACAGCTGACTTTAGCCTAATATTTTAATAAGCTGGGAGAAAGCTAAAATTTGACTGAAATGCAAACATTTAGAGTGTTCCTGATTTACACATGATGCAGCTTTATGAAAATGCTTCCACTCTGAAGTAGTTTCAGACTCGCATAACACCGATATCAAACACTTCAAATATCATAAAACTTGATGCACACATATCTAAAAGCACTACAAATGAGCGTTACAGAGAGCAATATTATTTTTAAAAAGTACCTGTGGAGACAACACTGGTCGCATGGTTAGAAACGGGCAGGCACTCTGCTGCGCTGTGATGCATTATCAGAGGCAGGGAGGGAGAAGAGTCAGAATTCAAGGGTACAAAATTGTCGGATGAAGCAAACGCTTGGCAAGTCATGCCCTCAAACAGGTGAAAGGCAAAGAGCCACCCTTCCCCGTTTTCTAACTGATCAGGTCCTGATCGATTAATGGCAGCTCCAACTCTATTCCAGTGTTTGCACTTGTATATACATATACAGAAGGACTCCAGAGAACAGGGAGGTCGTGTGCAGGTATTTATACCACTAGAAAATCCCTTTATCCATTTTAATGTTCTTTTCCCAGCAATATTGCTGTCCTGCTATAGAGCCTCCTTCCTTCCCACACAAACACAATACATGTCCAATTAGCGGGGGAGAAGAAGAGGGAAACCAGAGACATGATTTGACAAATATATTCAATTAGGTCTTTTGTAAAGAACAATGACCAGAAAAAAAATATATAAAAACTTTGTCTCCAAAGTCGGTAGCCATCAGACAGGTACGTTTAATACTAAGTAGGTTTCCACAGTTAACACCTGCCCCCAGAATCTCATCCATACAATTGTGTGGAAGACAACCTGGCTGAGAGCTCAATCAAAAGTCTGCAGAAGTCAAGAGTCATAGCAAAATACTCCAAGGTTAACTTAATTCCCAGCAGTTACGCGTTGATCACTTGTCTTGTCATACAAGTATAAACAGGAGATGCACAATATGAGGCAAGAGGAAGCTGCTGAGAAGATAGCTTTACTTAAGCAAGATCTGCTAAATATTTATCTAACATAAACTCTTGAAAAAGCCCATAGTAATACATAAAATTCATTTACAACTCCTATTGTTAATTTATATTGCCACTGCATCTACAGTCTCATCCAGAGTGTTATAGCCTTTATTGTACTAGATAATGAGTAAAAGCAGAATATTTTTTTTTAAAAAATAAATCACTGTTTCAATAATTTGCTATCATGAGACTGGAATGACTTCAGAATAGTAAAGAGCATTCATATTAACCTGTACATGATGAAAAATCACTGCAGTACCCCAGAGTCACATATTGTATGTGTATGACAGGCTAAAAAAAATGAAGCAGATGGTCCATTTCATTTCCTTTATTGTTTAGGAGGTAAAATGCACCGATTTGAATTATTTTCTTGTACTTTTTTTTTTTTTTTAACTACAGATAGTCAGAACATAAAGATGGCAATACCTTGAGTGTAAGCCTTCTTTTGTATTCCAAACTTGTTCAAATACCTGAATTAGGATTCTGCTGGAACAGACTTCACATATGTTGCATAGGAGAGAAAATATATTTTATTGGGTTTTTCTTTTTTTTTTTTTCAGGTAGAATTCTTGATATTATCTTTAAATGTATTTTTTGAAAGGCTGTGTTTATGAGTGCTGAGAAATTTCAGAATTACAGCATATAGCTAATCACATATGTGATTTAGCAGTGGTGAAGCTATGTTTGTAACCACTATCCACGTATGCACTTCTACATTTCAAAATTTACAAAAAATTTGAAGTAATAATAATGACATTATGGAAGATAATGCCAACAAATGAAATGCCATTTGTATTAGTTTGGGCTTGGCTCTATGCATATTTAAGTCTGTGGACTGATGAGCACATTGACTAATGAATGAGAACTGAGCCTTAAAGTCTAGCATTTCATTCAGCTGAGCATGTATTTGAAACACATGAAATTTTCAGATCAGGGCATTGCACAGAAGGAAACTAAGGCAAAGTCAAAAGCGCTGACATTGTTTTTAACACCTTACAAATAGTTCTGAAATAGTATTTCCCTCTTATGACATAAATAGTTTCTTAGCTCCAATGGTAGATCTTGGCACACTTACCAAAATGCTATACGTAACAGAAAGTCTATAAACTGTAAAATTTCTGCTGGAAGCTCACAGATAAATGCAGAGAAGCTGTGGCTTGTAGCCAGGTGAAAGATGGAGCTCACTGCCAGATTTCATTTCTTCTTGAGATCAGGAGACCTACTCAGTCTTTGATCTCTAGAGACATGCAGAGCTTGTTAGGTGTCAGTAGCTTCACGAGAGGTATTGATCCACAGAAACTTGGAAAAAGGAAGTATGCACAACCAGCAATCTTGAGAAACTGAACTTATCATTAGAGCAAGTAAAGAGTTGTTTTGTAACATCAACCCAAACACCTTCTCAAATAAATTTGCCATTTCACCACAGTGTTGTGTACCATAATGTGGAATTACTTTCATTTCTATAATGCGTTCACGTCACATTGCCTACTTATCGCTACATCCAACAACTTGCTTATTTTTATTTTAATTTCTTCATTAAGATTGTGCCGTTAGTCATATTTTCTTTAGTTATTTGATGGCATTTTTGAGATTCCTGAATAGCTAGACTAGGTATTTGACAAATTTTACATTCATCAGACAGAGCAATAGAAGTCACTTCCTACAAAAATAGAACCTCTCTTAAAGCTTTACTACAGTTCTCTGTTGCTGTAACTGTGAAGTCTGTTACTATTTTTGTTCTGCCAAGAAGAATCCCTTGATGGTGAAGCCCTAACGTGTTAGCCATGCTCAGCTGTTTGGTTGATTTCAGATTCACTTAAACAAAATTACTCTATGACTCTGTAATTTCATCGTCAGCTTTAAATTCTCTCTGACAGGAGATGTATTTTGCCAGCATTTGCTGTTCCTAGCCCATCTCCTATCTGGATATGCAGTAACAGATACTCTTCTGATAGTTTAAGGAGGTCATGCGATCACACAGATCTGAAAAGGGCCTCCTGACTGCCACACTGACATTTCAGAAAACTGTGCCAGGGTTTTGCCCAGTGACATCACAGGAAGTGTCCAAGACCAGACTGGGTGATGCTCTGTGTAACGTGGTCTAGTGGAAGTGTTTCTGCTCATGGCAGGAAAGTAAGAAAAAGATTGTCTTCAGGATCTCTTCCAACACAAATCACTCTGTGATTCTAAGATACTCAGTTCTGGCCAGAAGAATCATAGAATCACAGAATCACCAAGGTTAGAAAAGACCTACAGAATCATCCAGATCAACATCCATCTATCACCAATAGTTCTCACTAAACTATGTCCCTCAACAGAATGTCTAAATGTTCCTTGAACATGCTAATAATAAGCAAAAGGGGTGATATAGGGCTCTTCTCCTGTGTCAAAAAGGAAGAAAAGTTTGGGGCTGGGAAGTACCAAGATTCAACTGAGAGCAGTTTCTCCCCTCTGACTACACTCATGGAAGACCCAAGCTCTTCCAGGCTGGTAGAACACAAATTGAAGACACAGAGTCATGGTTTTTAGTTTGATTTTCAATCTTAATCTCACAGGACTGCAAAGACTTCCCGAAGCACACTCTTTTCTTCTCAGAATTATCAGGATGTGACAACTATCTACAGTCTTAGAGCAGAAACACCCCATCTCACTTCATTATATCACTTTCATCTGTCTGTTCTCCAAACTGCATTCTTTGGACAGATCTCAAGGTGAAAGATGATAGAACTGTATGAATTACTACTATCCTTGCAAATCTGAAACAGCATCTGAATCTCAGCACTCAGCAACAAGTTTGGGAAGATCATGGAAACTTAAATGAATGTGTCCTTTTCTGGTAAGATAGTACTTAATAAATAAGAAAGGCTTCACTGGACAATCCGAAATGGACAGCATAATATACCTAGAAGTCATTATCACCCAGAGAAGCTTTCATTTACGAGTTGTCATCAAGGATTTAAAAATGCAAGAATTATCATTCAGCTGTTTCAGACCTGCAGCCACCAACCAAAAGAGTTTTTCTCTTCCTCACCCTTTGTTACACTTACGATGTCATAAAAACATGAAGGTAGGGTTCTGCCCTGAGACAGACCTCATTCTCCAACAGGATTTTGGTAAGACATTGGTATATATACCAGTAAAGCCCATCTGCCCTATTCTGAATCTGCAGTTGAAATTAGTCTTCTGAGTGGCTATTATTTCTATAAAGAGCACTAGAGAAAATAAAGATTTTAATGACAAGCATCTTTTACCCTGTCCATTATGGGATAATACAGAAATCACCTTCATTTATTTCCTTAAATGATCTTTAATGTTTACTTCATGACAGAAGACTGGCTTTTTTCCCCCTGTATCTATTCCTGACTGGATCTGAAAATACTGAAGAGAGCTTTCAGAAGCCCTTTAAAGTTTATGTTTAGACAGACATTACATCATTTGATTTCATTGCAGAAAGGTTGTTTCACGTGGTTTTCTCAGCTCAGAGGTAGCTTTTCTTCTGTAAATTCTCAGGACTGGCTATCAGAAAAAGCCCCATCATTTTGCTTCAGAGGAGCACAGTTTCTCTGGGCCCAAGAGACAGTCACATGCTGATTAACATCGTGGAGTTTCCTCCTCACCTTTGTCAAGCACTGCATCATTGCAGAGGAAACCAGACAAGTGCGGGTCTCAGCAGCATCATTCATTCTTTTGTTTTCTTGGGTCTCTGAGACCTCCTACTGAATAATATACACATGTTGGAAACTCCTCTTTAGTTGCCCGGAGAACATGCATAACTACAAATACCTTCAAGGAGAAAATGCTAACAACTGATGTTTCTACATGATGTGGAATCTACCTGTAAATCCTGCCTGCTTTAACCGCCTATGGGAGCCTGTTGGAAATTCTGTACTACAGAAAACTTCAGATATAAGGCTTGTTTAAACTAAGAGCTTGTAGAGCTGGAAGTCTCTGCAAACATAATCACAATACTCCTGAGCTTGAAACATGATCCTTTAAAATAATCACCTATATGCACATTTACACTATGGAGAGGCATACATTTGCACATATCAACAATGCATTCCTGAAAAACTCCGTTTCTTTGGAAAGTAACCTTCACTGCTGCTTTTCCTATCCCTGTGTCCACTCAGGAACTGTAAACACTTGACCTCTGGGCTTTCTGCTTGCAGAATGAGGAATGCCAATGGTAGGTGCTGTCAGTGTGAGATGGAAGTACTGAGCATCACCAGAAAGGCGAGCCTGTGATAGATTTCAGCATACCTTAGACTTTAAGCATTTAATATATCAGAATACAAACAAACTTCAGTGATATAATCACAT